AAATTACAGGGTAATTTTATCCTATAAATACCAGCGTGTCCCCGAATGATTACCTGTATCGGTTGGTTAATACTGGTTTTCTTTTCAATGTATTGACTTCTGTATCTAAATATGACATAGCTACTCTAGGCTACAGTATGATACATTATTTTATTACTCCATAATAAAACACTCGCCATCTTTTTTGTTTGGTAGAAACTTATATTAATATTTAACGTTCAGCGTTCGAACTCATATACAATCCAGGGTTACATATGCTGATCTTCTGGATTGGTTGACTCTTTGTAATCGAAAAATTGCCAGGGCTCAATTTCGTTATTATTTTTATATATTCATAGTCGGTCTAATATTAGTTCAGTAAGCACTAAACACAAGGTCGGTGTTTTCGATTTAAACTGATTTAGTTTAATCAAAGAATTACGGTAATGTACCCTCCACCTCGAAGGAAAAACATCAATGTCGATTTAGCGAATTAATTTTGCACATTTTTTTTCTTGCCGGTAGAAGAATTAATCATCACAGAAAATTCACTTACAAAATGTCCCTTCTTCTTTTCCCAGAGGCTAACGAGAGAACATTTACTCAGACCAATGACATCGCTTAAATGGAATGGTGAAAAGAAGATTGAATTTGTTTAGGTCACTTATTATTTTATCATCATCATCATCATCATCAACAACAACAGTGTTATGATCATATCTGGTCGTAGGGTCGCTGCGTAGCTGACCACTTGACCAGCTCCCTCCACGTGATGCTGTGACGTGCTGTCAGAGTGTCTATGAAGAAGCTTCCAGTCCAGTCAATGACGTTGTCAGTTCAGTTTTTTTTTTTCTTTTAACTGCTTCTTTTTTATTCCCTGAGGTGGATCATTGTAGGATGGTAGTGAAAAGATGGTTGGGTCATATGACCTGTCCATACTATTGCAGCTTTCTCTTCTTGACGATGGTTATGAGGTCTTCCAATGGGTTTCTTGTTGGATGGTGTCTCGCACTGCGCCATTTGTGATGCAGTCTCCGTTGGAAGATCCTAACGATGGGTCCGTAGCATCGCATTTCTAATGCTTGGATTCTTCATTGTAATTATGCTGTTAATGTCCAAAAGTCGTAGTCGAAGAGAAAGATTAAGTAGGCCAATGCACACAACAGTTTGAACTGAAATCAAAGATAAGACTGCTCTAAAAGATAGAAGGCTAAAATAAAACAACGGGATTCTAACCTTTCTTTGAAAAAAAGAAAAAATTAAATTAATTAAGAAAGTTTAATTATCAGTTCTTCATTCGCAACAGTATTATATTCAAAGGTTGCAGCTCAACTATAAAAATTCTTTAATTATATCTGAGGTTACTATTTAAAAAAAAGAAAATTGAAAGCGTCTATTTAGTTTTTGAGTTCGCCATCAATCGAGCCAAAATGGAGTAGAAATAATCGTGCAAGATGTCAGAGTTAAAAGGACATTTGAGAAAGTACACAAACTATATTGCTTCAACGAAAGGATCAATCATTTCTGAAGCATATGATGTGATTGTGTGGCTGTATGGGCAGAAGAAAGAAACGGTTAAATCCACATGAATATATATTCTTTAGTTATTTTCTGTTGTTATTCAGATTTCTTTTTTTCTTTTATTACTCTGGAGAAATTCCTGGTTAACTTTCAAATATGAAAGATAGCGATTGATGTTTGAACTGTTAAAAGAAATTTACAGCTTTTCTGTTGAATAATGTTTTTTAATATTTTTTTTAGCAATGGACCTGTTTAGATCCAAATAAAAATATCATTAACGCCTTAATGTAAGGCGCCATTTTCAAAACCCGTGATGTCTTATCACTGTCTTGAAGTTCAGGCGAGAGAAGAAAAAAAATATAAATTTTTAAAAAGTGGAAAATGCTTGTAACGTCACGTTAAAAAGGTATTGGAATATTACATCATGTAAGTGTCATTAAGTTCTTGTTTATTTGTTGCTTTTTTATCATTTCATCACAAGCAAAGCGATAATAGCATTATTGTGTTGAAAGATAGACTTCTCTACACCTATTATTGAAACATAGACTCGCCCATTCGCCATTACGGTTACATTTGATCATGGAACAATGGCAAAAGTGGGTTGGCGCTTTTCAGTCGTACGCTGGTCGCACTAAATTACTGTTCTTTAATCCATGTTTTCCTGTGATCAAACCCTTTTTTAATCAACCATTTGTTTCCGGTGTTTTCTTTACAGTCTTACTAACCAGTGGAGATCGTAGTTGACAGGGAAACAAAAAAACGAAATAGGTTCTACAGGCGAGTAGAACCTCGTAAGAAGCTATTAGAATAGAACTTAAGGATACAACTTGCAATTTATACAGTAACACCCATTTTCTGCTGGAAATACTGTAACGATCTTAGCAGTTAGATCACGGTTTTAGAGTAATTGAAAGAACTGTTAACATTTTTAACACAATATTTTGAAAAATCTAATAATTATAGATTATAACTTGTCTCATATAAAATTAATAACTACCAAAATGATGAAACCTTATAGAACTGCTTTAATTACGACAATTTCGCTGAAACCATTTTACGGCAGATGCAAATCTTGCAAAGCTAAAAATGATTGCTCGCGGCGTATCAAAAGCAAGGGGCAGCCCATACAACAGCAGAAGTCATTGTTTGCGAATTGAATCATTTTAGAAATATGACGAGCGTGTTGATTTCTGAAGTTTTCAGCTGTGTCAGAAAGCGAAATGACTTTGCTATCTAAATAGATCAAAGTATTACATCAGTGAAATGTTCGTGTATTTTAAGATTTTGAAACGACTATTTGAAGTATATATAAAGATCTTTTAATGTTTCGTAATATCGAGTTTCTATTTTAGACGTTTCTGAATTCGTTTCATATGCTTTCCTATCTTGGGACTATAAAATGCCGGGTATGATTCCCTTTAGAGTTGACATTCATTTGTTAGTCTGTTTAGATCGAATTTTCTTAGCTTAATGAGAAACAAAAATAAAATATATCATCTCGCTTTCAGATCTAATTAAAATATAGAAACTTAAAAATATCTTTTATTACTCTATGTTTAACCAACTCATTTTCCTTTTTGTTAGATGAGGAAGAGACATAAAACAACAGAAATGTTGTTCTACAGAAGGATGCTGAGAATGGCATAAGCCCGAACATGTGATCAACAACGAAGTTTGAGAGAAAATGGAAACAAAATGGACACTTATAGTTAACATGTAGAAGTGAGTTGAAATTTCTAGGGTACATAATGAGAAAAGAGGGCTTAGAAAATTTGATACTCACAGGACAGATTGAAGACAAAAGAAGAAGGGAAAACTACACATAACATACATAGCAAGCTTGAGTAAATATATGGCGAGACAAGGCTTAGAAGAGCTAACAAAAAGACAGATTTTATTAAGAGCTACAAAGGATAGGGAATTGTGGAGAAGCATGATCGCCAAAGTCCCGAAGGGACACGATCCATAAAAGAAAAAGAGGTTGGAAATCTTAAAATTAAAACTGAACATCGTACAATCGTTAATTTATATTGCGATTAGTGAAAAAATGAAATAAGGAGAACACAGATATTAGTTTGGATTAGTTTCTTTTGTTTTACGGCATATCAACCTCACTGGGTTATTTAATGCCGACAAGATTTTTATTGCTGCTAATATTTTTCCAAAAATGTATTACTGGTAATATTTTTTTCTTCAAAAATGTACTGTTGGTAATAATTTTTCCCAAAAAATTTATTGCTGGTATGAAAAACTATTTTTTAAACTTTCATAGTGTTTTGACTCCAGTTTGGAGTTTAAATATTTGCCCATAGTTGGGACCCTAACTGGTGCTACCACCCCGACTCAGGGTGGACCTGAGAACACCAACACCAGTGGTTCTACCCTCCTAAAAAACATACAGAAGTCTTGCTGGTGGATGTAGTTGTTCGTTTTAGACTTTTGTGTCAAGAGACCCTGCAAATGCCCCCTCTCCCCAATACAGGCACAACGTTGACGGCGTATCGCGACTATCGCTACTTCCATGACAAATGTTCAGATGGGTGCTATTCTTTTGTTCGGCAGTTCTGACTTTTACACCTAGAAGATGCCGTGTAACTTACACAATATCGAATTATTGAAATTTCCTCTGAATTCCAAACGTAAGCAGAAAGTTCCACTCAGACATCTTTTAAAATCCCGCCAAAACTCAGGTTTTCATTTGATCACCCAATTTAAGAAAGCTCGAACCTGGTCAGTATTTAGATAGAGAAACGCTTTGGAACACCACGTAATGTAATCAACCCCCGACAATCGAAAATATGTTTTGGATTTAAGACATTGACTGCCAACCAAAAGATAACTTTGTGATAACTTTATTTTTTTTATGACACAGATTACGAGTTATCCCGTAGGGACTACTAGTTATCTCGTAGGGACTACGAGTTATCCCGTAGGGACTACGAGTTATCTCGTTCTTGTCAATTTCTAGTTCACTTTCCTCTGCTACCGCCTAAAATAAGTTTATTTGCAAGTATATATTGTTAGTGGGAAAAACAGTGCGCAAAACGCTTCATTTGAAGCTATAAATCAACCCCTAAAAATTTTTATTGACTATTTTGGTCATTATTAAGTTGGCATTTGAAGTCAGATTTCGTATCTGACTTCTGGCGGACAACGTGTAAAATAACTAACAAAAGGTTGACAAGCCGTACTAGACAAAAAACAAAAAAACAGTCACTCAGTTCCTATACTCATAAACTTCCCTATCTATCAACAGATCTTCTATTAATATAAAGCACCTTTTAACAGTTATCCTCCGCATTGAGTGGCTTTCAAGACCTTTATTGATTGAATTTTAGTATAAAAAAACTGTGTGAGATGTTAAATGGCTATCAGTGCTGAAGTAGAAAATTGAGTCAAAATTTCGACCTACTTTGTTAGGTGGTAGTCAAGCATGGCGAAGATCTAGTCTGAGATTAAACTCGTGAAGGCGGCTATGGAAAATCACTTCACTATTTTCTCTAGAAGTCCTGGGTGTTCACAGAGAGAGAGATAGAGAGAGAGAGATAGAGAGAGAGAGAGAGAGAGAGAGAGAGAGAGAGAGTCATGACCGTCTACATACAGAGTGGACAAGACATTAAAAAAAAAGATCAGATTGTAAGTTCCATTGTAATAAGACAAAACAGTAAAGTTGGTTTGGGAAAAGAAGCAGGCATTGTTCAATTTAGCCTCTTCAGTATGAGTATCGTATTTATCAAGTTTCATTGATTCTGACACAAGAACGCAACAATTATACAGCCTCTAATAGCCGGGCTTAATATGTATGCATCACTAATCAATTAGATGGGCCAAAAAGTTAATTCAGTTTATCAGTAAATTTTCTTGAAACTTTTTGGTCAACCCACTACTAACCATCATCCAAAACTATAGGCGCTGTACTCTGGTAATTAATTGTTTACTAAAGATTTTACAAGTAATGAATGTACACATTGTATTTTTTATAGACAGTTTAAATTAATACTTCACTGTGTAGCCTCTTTACACGAGTTACTGATATAGTATTTTGTGCTAATATTTGTTGAGTACAAATGCTTTTTTCTTGTTGAATGAAACGAGTTAAGCCAAAAACTGATTTTGTTTTTCTTCTCGTAATAAACATTTACTCTGGAGGAAGCGTGAGTAATAATAATAAATAGAAAGAGTCAACGACTCAAAACAATCCTGAAGTCGGTCGAAACTGAGGCATGTGTATTCACACTAATTCATTGATCTTATCTAAGAGAAAAAGTCTATTTCGATAACATGGATGACTTCTTTGCCTTTGCAGTTGAAAGTGTAACATAGAAATAGATTTTTCTTTTCTTGGTTAGAATACAGTTAGAGACATAAATATTGGTAAGTAGAAAATATTTAAGAAAATTAGCTACAGATAAAAAAGAAACTAAATCTGAAACGAAAAAAGTGACAAACCGCGGGAATTTTAAGGATTAACGTTGTGAACGGTCAAAAATGGATTTCTATATAGAAATTATTTTGCAGTCTCTCGCAGACGGAAAACAGCATAGCTATATAGAATGTGGAAAATTAGTTACTCTTAGATATTTATGCAACTTGAAATATCACTTTGTTTTTTAGATTTAGGATACATTAACTGTACCCCTTTCACATGAATAAGGCTCTTTCAGAAGAGGGAAACTTCAAAGCAGTTACTTGCCGACTAGAGTAAGAACCACACCTGTCTATATTTTACGCTGCAGTGCAAACTGGGCTTATATCTGTATTTTTCATTCTAGTGAAAATATAACCTGTGACTAAATTTTGAACTCTGTTGTAAACTGGATGTACGTCTGAATTTAGCATTATAGTGTAACCAGAATAGATATGAACATTTTGTACTCAGGTGTATATCGGACCTCCGTCTACCTTTTGCAGTCGAATTCAAATGAGACTTGTCTACCTTTTTCACTCTCGCCTAGACCGGAAGGATGTCTACCTTTTACACTCAAAGGCAAAACAGATCTCTGTTTACCTTTTGCAATATAATGAAAACGGGACATGTCTACCTATTGAACTGTCGCCTAAAGCGGATAGATATTTACCTTTTGCACTCAAGTGCAAGTCGGAAAAATGTCTACTTTTTGCACCCAAGAACAAAACGAATCTCCGTCTACTTTTTGCAATCTAATGAAAATGGAACATGTCTACCATTTGAATTCTCGCCTAAAACGCATCTAAGTGTAACTTTTGCATTCAAGTGCAAGCCGGAACAATGTCTACTTTTTGTACTCAAGGTCAAAACAGATCTCCGTATAACTTTTGAAATCTAAAGAAAACGGGACTTATATTTACCTTTTGCACTCTAGCCTAAACCGGATCTATATCTACATTTTTTAATCCAGTGCAAAGGGATCTAGGTCAACATATTTTATTCTAGTGCAAACCACGCCTATGTCAACCCTTTCTATTCTAATAGAAACCATACCTAATGTAACTTTTGAAATCTACTGCAAACAGGAAAAATATATAATTTATGCACTGTAGGGCAAACCAAACCTGCATTTACATAGTTGATTAATGTCAAACCGAACCTCGTATATTAACATTTTATACTCTAGTGCAAACTGGCCCTATCACTTTGTTTTTTTTTTTTTACTTTAGTGTAATGGATAGCGGCTCGTATTAAGGAATTGGAGAGCCGAGTTCGAATTCCATTCGGATCCATTGCATTCACTTATGTGATAATACTCTTGGGAAAGGTATGAATCTTCTTCTTCTCCCTCCAGCTATGGGTAAATAGAAGGACAGACCGGGTTCTATAGCCTTGGGTGGCTTCTTCTAGGAGAATGAAAAACCGGCCTGGTGAGGGTTGGGCTCCGTCAGGTTACCTTGCCCAAGAAACACCACATGGTGCCCCTACGACGCTTCGTCTATCATTTTGCCTCTAGTACAAACTAGTTCTATATGTACCTAGCTATTAATGCCTCATGATTTTTGAGGTCTGCTTTTTATATTGGACAGTAAATAATAGAAAAAGCAACAATATGTAAATGTAAACTACTTAACGTAGATTGGAGATGCTTTGTGGTGTAAAATGTATAAAATGGTTCGGAATTGGAAATTAGAGTCGATTTCTAATTCTTTTCGAATTCGTTATATCCACTTACGCTTGGGAAAAGCATGAATCCAGCTCTTCTCCTCTCAACTATGGGTTAAACAGTAGGAGAGATTAGGAAGTATAGCCTTGAGTGGCAACTAGTATACCACAAAAAGAAACAGCAACCCAACGCGGGAAAATATTTTGCCTAGTCAATAAGAAATCGAAAGAGATAAGCGTCTATCATGTACGGTACTTAACTAACTGAACAGAGACTAACACTGATATCAAGGGCAGAATTTCATTTACAATTCACCTTTTACTTTTTGACATACTAAATCATAGCAGTAGTTTAAAAATGAAACAATACAATGCTTTTAATTTCGCAAGGAATAATTTTAGAATTCCGATCTTCTTTTTGCTTTCCAGTTCTTTTTTTTATGCACCCTGTTCTTTTTGGAGGTAGGCGATCATGATCAGTCCATGGTATCCTCAACATCCTTCTGTAGATCAATATTTCCGTTGTTTCAAGCTTTGTCTACTGATACAAATCTTTACATTTATTTCGTGTTAATAACTTTTTGCATTAGCTATTATTTTAGGTTAGTCGAGTTCAATTTTCAGCCTCGTCAATTGTTTCAATGTCACACTACTACCCTTGGAAAAGACATGAATTTATTTTCTCTCCTTACAAAATCAATGGATTAAATAGTAGCTTCGACGGGGTTCTTATTCTTCTTGTCTTTTACTTCTGCTTCTACTCCTATTTCTTTTTCTTCTCTTTATTCTTTTTTTCTTATGTGCCACACCCCATCAACATGTGTGTAAGTCTAGGAGAAGTACAAACAAACTAATGGTAGCAGGAAACCACGTCATTTTCTTTGCAAAGATACCATGTCAACTCAGACATCATAAAATATAAAGGAAACTGAGGAAAACCATGATCATCTCATGTCTGAAGTAACATTTCTTTTTTTCGGATGTGACGGTATTGTAATAGTTATCATCGCTGAAACTAGTATCATCGAGCTGAATTTCTAATTCTGTTGTATTTCTTTTCGTATTATTGCCCTCGGGAAAGGAATGAGCAACCATTTCTCCTTCGACTTACCGTAGCAATTTCTACCCGAAGAATTCATGGTCATTGCACAGATAACAAAGAAAAAGAATCTGCTGTGTGTCCTCAAGGAACACATCACTGAAAAATTACATCAGCATTGGAGATCTGATAAATATGAAAGAAAAACGTTCATGAATTTGCAGTGTCACTGAATAGTGTTTTTTTTTTCTATTCTTTTTTTTCGTCTTCTTCCCTGTCTTCTTCGTCTTCTTTTTTCTTTTTCCTCCTCTTTTCTTCTTCTTCTTCGTCTTTTTTCTTTTGCTCCTACTTCTTTCATTTTCATCTTCTTTTTCTTCTTTTTTCTTTGTTCTTCCCTTATTTTCTTCTTCTTTCTTTTCTTTTTTCTTTTTCTTCTTTTTTTCGTCTTTTTTCTTTCTTCTTTTTTCTTCTGCATTTAATCTTTTTTCCTTCCTTTTCGTCTTCTTTTTCTTCATCTTTTTATATTATTCTTTTTCTTCTTTTTTCTTGTACTTATTTATTATTTTATGTGCCACGCCCCATCAAGATGTGAGCAGTCATGGCTCTCCACAAATTTCAATACTCTCTAGCGCTTATCAATCTTTATCTTTTTACTCTAATTCCCACTCCCTCTTCGAACATTCATAGATACAAGCTAGTTGGATAGTTTACTCCTTTTCTCCCCACTGTCCCTTTCCTGTGATGATTCAGTTTATTAGGCCTTCTTTAGTTATAATCTGTTGTGAAAATTTCAACTGTTTCGTTCTGATTGTAAGTATACATATTGCACCCACTTATTATCAATATTTATAAAGCATATAGAGCTCTACAGAGCTTAATAGAAAAACAGACAAGAAGGCTCACGAAAGCTTGTGTAATTAGACACAAAGATGCAAACAAAAAACCTAATTTTATTTAACAAGAGCAAAAAGAATAATAAGTCTGCTAAAACATTACACAATATAAAGATTTAGCTGAAACAATTTCCTAACAGAGGTTTAGCAATACAATTATGGAAATGAGATCTCAGGAACAGCAAGTAACATGGATATGAGTAACAAGGATTTATTGAAGTTTTCGTCTCGCAGGAAGTAACAGTCCTAAAGAGATCTTTACAAATGGTTCTCTTGTACACGTTGTCTAACAACAACAGAAAACTTGGGATCAAAAGAACGTGTAAACTTTTGTAGAATTTTTCAAACCATACTCATGTGAATGGATGAGATACAAAATTGTATTATGGTTTTAAAAACGAACATTTTAAAAGCATATATTAATATAGGCAAACATATATTAATATAAGCAAATCAATCTGTTAGGAAAAGCAAAAAAAAAAAAAATTACACCCCATAAAGTTCTAAATAAAAAAAATATAACAATAAAATCTAAACAGTTATCACACCTTGCTTCTCAGAACTCATCCGAGAACAACATGTATACATAACGACTAAAATGAATATTTTACCAGATTCTTTTTACAGTAGTCAGCAGAATATATTCGGATTACCATTTGACAGTACTAGAAACCCTATATATTAACTCTAAACAGCCTTCCCTCTGTAAGCAGAGCGGGTGGCTGCTGGGTCTTAATATAATCTGTCTTTGATTTACCTTGTTGATTCTTTGGTCGTATTTGTTTTTCCACTTCTATAGTCACTGTGCATAGTTATATTTTTTGGCCCTCGATTGAGTTTTGAAGAGAGAAGGGCGATACCCAATGAACATTTTTTTTGTTTCTTTTTCATATAATTTGCGATTCACCGCTTTATGGCCTGAATCATTTTCTTTTTTTTCTTGTCCTTTCTCTTCGTTCCTCTTTATAGGCTTGGTTATATATATATATATGCCCGGTTTAAAATGCCCGTTTTTAAAACCTTAAAAATCAATTTTAAAATATCCGAGAAAATCTTATTTATTTTAATTTTTTAAATTAAAGCTGATCTTGATAATTAAAAAATGGTTCTACTGCTTAAGAAACTCATGCAAAGAAGCAAATCATTTAAACATGTTTCGGTCTCAAATATTTATCTTTAAGAAAATTCGTCTTAAACAAAGTTTTCCGCCTACCTGCTATATTGACGTGGCTGAATTTAGAGCTGATGCCTCGAGAAGATTAAACCTGTCAAATACTTCTTGATATCAGGATGAGAAAAGAAAACACAATGCACAAAACAGGCTATATATTATCATCAGTTCTCTGTGAACTGATCCGCCATCGGCAATAGTATTTCGCTGAACGAATGTGTTTGCTTCACCTGGTATCTTATTTGATATGTGCAAAATTTTTTATTGTCTTTTTTTGTTTTTTGACAACTAGAAACTGAATATGTAGTAGAAATCCCTTATGGAAATACTGAAAAATTTGGCACATACCTAATAAAGATCTTATCAATAAAGACATAAATTCGATTTACAGGAACTATATGGCAGACTCAGAAAAGAAACCGATAGGAGTATTAAACAAAGTAGAAAAGGAAAGCAAGAAGAAAGGGCGAACTGTTAGTTTAATACGACAGAATGTATGGTTCTTAGAAAAAAAGAAACGTTCAAAAATATGTGCTATGTATTGGAGACCTGAAAGTTTTTACTGAGATACAGAAATTGAACGATCTGGGCCGTGTAGTATACAGACGGCGAAATATGACGCATAAATACGACCGTCTTGGGTATGACAAGAAACTACATCCGCGTCCTGGTTAAGACAATAAAATCCATTCGGCAGAAAGGCCTCTGATCAGGAAGTTTTGAGGAGGGTGGAACCACATCGTAATTGCTGGTGTTCCCAGGTCTGCTTTGAGTCGGGGTGGTAGAACCTGTTAGGGTCCCAGCTATGGGCAAATATTTAACCCCCCTAACTGGTGTCAAAACTCTATGGAAGTGTAAAAACAAGTTTTAATATCGGAAATACTTTTTGCAAAAATTATTATCAGCAATATATTTTTGAAAAAAAAAAATATTAGCAGCAATATATTTTTTGGAAAATAAAAATCATGTCGGCATTAAATAACCCATTGAGGTCGATATGTCGAAATAAAAAAACCCAAATAAGCATAAATCCGCTGAGTGTCGATAAGCGTCTTCTAACAACTAAAGAAAATGTTACAAGAAAAATATTCTTGACAAAAACAAACAAACGAACAAAAAATAGTGCCGAACGGCTAAATAATATCTACCCACTTTTTCGGCTGTGATTTTTGTACAGTCTTGTCAAAGATAAAACAATGATTTCAATCGACAGGAACCTAGCAATGAATGCTAAGAATAATATAGAAAAAGGATGTGATAAACAAGGAGGGAAATATTTAAGAGAAAATATGAACTACGAGGAAATTATAAGTAAAATAAATTTACTGGGACTCATAATGAAAAAAAGAAGCTTGGCAAATTTGAAACTCATAAGATATACTGAAATCAAGAGAAACAGAGTGAAACAGCAAGTAATCTACTTTATTTGAATTTGTTGTCAGAACAGGAACAAAGAAAGCTGATAAAGTCTCAAAAGTTATTTAGATCAACAATATTTATAAGACAGGATGTTGTGGAGAAGCATCATTGTTTATATCCTGAACATACCTAGCCAATCAAAGAAGAAGTAGAGGTGGAAGGGTTTTAGATGCATATAAGTAATTAGCCGCAATGTGACTGTCTTTCTGAACTTCTAAGCCTATAATTTTTTTTTATATATGTGATCAATATAATTAATTTTTCCTCATCCAATTCAAGAAAGAAATCCAGATTACCAACACACAAACAGAAAATGTCTCATATCGAGAATATTTAACATTGAACATGAGGAAAAATTAATTATTTTTAATAATATGTGGAAATCTCCACTTTTACCTGAAGACGGTCGCGAGACCAGAAACACGTGTCGTAAAATTATGTAAAACAAAGCATAATATTTTTTCTAAATAAATCCACATTACAACCAAAAACGTTTGCGGCACCTCTCTTCTCTTCTTTTTAATATACATACTTTTCTCTCGTTGGAACCACTGCATTATATTTCTTTTATATATATATATATATATATTCTGTAAACCTTGCGTCTTGCTTGGGGTGATATGCTTAATATATATATATATATATATATATATATATATATATATATATATATATATATTGTGTACTGTGATCAATCAGCTTAGTTCGTAGGAACCGACAGACCAGACACGAGCACATATGATTTGATATTGGTGAAGGCTTTGTGCAGACCCAACCACATTTTTTGAAGGGCCAAATACAGACCTGGTGCACTACGTGCCAGAAGGTCCCCAAACTACCCTCCGCAGATTTTGAATACAGAGTTGTCCTTCTAGACAAGTTGCTATCCAAGGCGATAGAACCCAGTCTGACCTGCTATTTACACATAGCTGGAGGGAGAAAAAGAGCATTAATACATTTCCCAAGAATATTAGCACGTAAGTAAATGTTTTATATATATATATATATATATATATATATATATATATATATATATATATATGTGTGCACATTTCATTGAATACGACAGACAAGGTGCTTTTATTTAGATTTTTTATACAATTTCTCATGCGATCTAAATATTTTTTTCTTTTCGGATGATAAATTATATAAAAACTGTCCGATTGTTCTTTTTAGCCGAGCGCTTTCGGCTACACATTTTTAGCCATTTTCATGGATTAAATATTTTAACTGTTAAATAAGAAATAGTTTGTTATATATATGTTTTATAAAATGTTTTAATTTTTAAAAACACAGTCAAGATATTGTGTCCATGTTCAAAGTTATTATTATTAAGTATTGTCTTTTGTTTTTTTTTTTATTAATAAGGCTTCACTTATTTTTAGCCTTTTTTGCATGTAGATGATGCTATTATATTATTGTTGTCAACAAGTATGTTACGAATAGTGTCTGGTAAGTCTCCATGAATATTTAAATGAAATCTAATTGAGCTACAGTCAGAAATGTGTAGAGTGAGAAATTATTAGATCGCATGAGAAATTGTATAAAAAAAACTAAAAAAATCACTTTGTCTGTTGTATCCTCTTCTGTATTCAATGAAATGTGCATGAAAGAAGGATTGCTGCCTAAATACACACAAAATACATATATATATATATATATATATATATATATATATATATATATATATATATATATATATGTATGTATGTATGTATGTGCGTTACTCTGTGTGCGTGTGTATACTAAATAGAACGGACAACGACTATCTTTCGGACCAACTTATTTCGAATGTCGTAGTTTTCCTTGGTGTCAAATGTCATTTGGTGTCAGGAACAACTCAGTGGCGAGCATGATGAAGGTGTGTGTCATGACTGAATACTCATGAGCACTGGTGATCGTTTTCAATATTAACTTATATTAATATTAATACATTATCATTAAGACATAACGGAAGATAGATAGATAGATAGATAGATAGATAGATAGATAGATAGATAGATAGATATAGACAAGATATGCATAGATAGATAGAAAGAAAAATATAAGATTGACCAAATATACGTAGATAAATAAAGTGAAATGAATAGACTTATCCGTACATAGATAGCGATATATAGGTATATAAATACTTTAGAACTATGTTTACCGATAAAGAAATTAGATTTTTATTCTGCAAAAATAAATTAAGAACAATTCAACATATTATCGATAGAATGTAGATTTCTTCAGAGAATTATTCGGCTTTTATTCTCTTTCATTCTTTTTACAACATACTAGCCTGTCTCTGCCATTAACTGTAATCCTTTTTTTATCCTAGCATTATCTTCTAGAAGGCTGTGTTCTATAATCTATTACCTTTTAAAACTTCGTTATGAAAAGTATCTCTTGCAAGTTGCCATATAAACTCACTTTAATATATTATTTGCAAATTGAACGCCTACTTTTCAAGTGAGCTTCATATTGTGTCTCTACACACAGTTTGGAATTAACAATGAAATATATTTAAGCAAATTTTCTCTGGATTAAAAGCGTATTTTAAAGACTTTCTAGGCACAAGTTTTACGATCGTCTGCTTGGATTCTGGAACTTAAGAATTATACATCAATGGCAATGAGGAAATTCGCTGTTTACATACAGGAAATATTCGGCCTTCATAGATCGTATATTTAATCTTACTGTCGGTTGAAATTTATTTTAAAAAACCGTTTTCTTAAAACAGATTTTCAGGAAACTAAACTTCACTAACAGTTATAGCTCTTTCTAGTATCGATGGCAGTTTCCTTCCAAATTATTTGTTTATGGTAGTGTAGAAAGTTAACAGCTTTATTATATCACCATTTTTCCATCTTAGTTATGTCCTACCAATTTTTTGTTGTGGCTGCTCTTGAAAAATCTTCGTGTGATGGTATTTTTTGATAAAACATTTTGATTGTAGTTTTGTCGCATCAATCGACAGGATCTGATGAAGACTCTTTTAGACCTGTAAGATGAATTCGTTTAAATTCATTTTAATCATTAATCTAAAAAAAAAAAATAACGGTTGTATATAGATGACAGTCTAGAAATTTCTGATCGAATTTTTTTATACTAATATTCACTCCAATACAAGACCCAAAAACCACTCATGGTAGAGTGTTACTGCATAGTGTTGTATGAGCGTGAGAAAAGGAAAGAAGTGAGCCTCATGGCATTAAATAATAAAAATAAGGACTAGACTTGAAGAGGTCAAGATTGTAATGACTAGGAAAACATCCTAGTGCGAGTCTGTTCTACAAAGCAGCAGTACTTGAGAAGTTGTTACCCGAATGGAACTTACTCTTTACTAATGGAATATGAAAGGAATCGGGAGGATTCATCCTTGTGTAGATGTCATGGCGAGCCCTGGTTGTAAAGGTGCCATGTAGTGAGACGAAGAATGTTTCTCTTTAGAACACATGATTTGGGGATAACGATAGAAAAGCAAGATGCACGAGACATTTCGTTTATGGCAACGGGATTTTAGGGTGGGAAATATTCATATTCTAGAAAGAGCTATAACAGTGAATCTATTTTCCTGGGAATCTCTTTTAAGAAAACGATTTTTCTATAAATTCCAACTGGCAGTAACACTAAATATTTGATCTATTAAGGCCGAAAATATCCTGTGTAGAAAGGGCGAGGACTGGAATCGAGTTGCTTGAAGAGCTTAGAATTTATTAATTCTATATTCTGAATTTTTTTGATGGATTCAGGGTAGGTACCATCACTACACTCATTTCTGTTACATATCCTAAATCCCAAATATAATTAAGCTCATTAATTATAATTATTATTAATTGATACACCCAGAAACATTCCTGCCCGGGATGGGGCGATATTTTCGAGAAGAAGACAAGGCAAGTGATTGAACACACAGGGGGAGACGAGTCTGTAGAGAAAAAGAAAACTAACCAAAAATTAATGGCCTTTGCGTTTGTATTTTACAAAAACAGAGAAAAAAGAAAAGAAAAGAAAAAACAAGCAGGACTTCTTAGTTTTAATTGTGAATTAAGAATTTGGAATTATTCAAATGTGAAGCATAAATCAATATGGTATCTGTAGCAGAAACTATGGCAAAAATGGACATTTTCTTTAGTTTTTTTTTTTCTGTGCGAATAAGGGTTACATTTTTTATTTTACTTTTGAAGTCTTTCCCTTTTTTTTCGATGGAGATAAACTTTTATAATAACACCACAATAGAAGAAATATTTGACAATTTTCAAAGAAATACATTTTCTTTCATTTTTAATATAAATTTCATTATCCTATCTGGCCAAATACTTGTTTTATAAGATTGGAAACCTTACTTATAAATCAATATTCGTAATTTTAAAGAGACCAGTTTCCTCATTTTATCTGGTCTGAAAATATTTTATAGAATCTGATATCGTACTTATCAATAAACATTTTCTTTTAAATTTTCAAAAGAAATAGATTTCCTTCCCTTGAAAACCAGTTCCTTTATCCTATGTGGATTTAAACCTTCTTTATAGGAGGGGAGATTTTACTTTAAAATCAATCGAGCGTAATATTGAAAAGAAAGAAATTTATTTTGATAACCGTTTCATTATTGTATTTTGTCTAACACTATTTTTATAAGATTAAACACTTTATTTATCAAACAAATCTAGCAAATAATTTTGATGTTAGAATGTAGATGACTTATATCATAAGGGAACCCCGTCAATGTTCCTTCATCTTTTTCATTTCTTACATGATATTTTCTGTCTTGAGTATATACACCCTTGTGAACCCCCCCCCGAATAATTGCGTTATTATTTAATTTAGAAAAAAAAATCATTTATTAATAGTATCAAAGAATAATCATTTATTAATAATCTTAATACTACTGATATTACTACTACTACAACTCCTTGGCCTTTTTGAGTTTCGCGATAAACTACATCCAACAGCAAATCCTCTGATCGGATGATTAGAGCTTTTGTGTAGCGTGGAACTACTTCTTAATTGCTGTTGTTCCCAATTCCACGGGGTGGTAGCACCTGTTTGGCTCCTGGTTATGGGAAAATAGTGGACCCCTAAACTGTGTCAAAACACTATGAAGAATACATTTTTGAGTAAACACTTCCAGCAATAGATTTTAAGAATAAAATATATTTCCAGCAATAGATTTTAAGTCAAAAATTTAAATTGCAGTAATAGATTTTAATAGTAAAAAGGAAATTAACAAAGGTCTCAAGAAAATTAGATTTAGATATTAAATGACCCACAAGGTGTTGATATGCCGTTAAATAAACTAATTGTAACTCTGACTACTACTACTACTACTATTAATAATAATAATGACTAGTCGTACCTGTGAAAATTTTAGTGTTTTTCTATCTGATTTTTTCTGATAAATCATAATACGTAATTTACTAATTATATAAGCTCCCGGTGAGATCCAAGAATATAAAATCCCCTTTGAAATCTTTTATATAGTTATATGTGTGTGCTTAACGACTTTAATATAATTTTATGGGACTTTACAATGCACACAGCCAGAACAATTGCCCAGACAACGTGATCAAAGACCAAGTGAGCAGAATGTATTTTTCTTATTGACATGACATTCTCTGCAGACTGTAATGTATCATTGAAGATCATTAAAATTCATCAAAATACAAGGGTTTTGGAATGGAAATCTCAAAAATGTGGAACATGAGGACATCAGAAATTCTAATTGGTGTTGGAGCCCTCGGATTGATTGGAAAAGGTTCCGATAGGCGCATTGAAAGGATTCCTTGTAATCCAGGCCTTAAACAAATACAACAGACTGTACTTACAATTACAGCTCACACAACACAAAGAGATTTATCTATGCAAAATGTGTGTGATCTTAGCTTTTTATTTGTTTCCGTTTTACTCAAATGATCAGTAGAAAATGTCTTGAAGCTATTTTTGATCTTAGGTCTCTGGTTGGGACTCGGAAAGAAATGTGTATACAACAGAAATGAAATGAAATAATAATAATAATAAATGAAATCGAAATCTCAAAAATGTGGCACATGAGAACATCAACAATTTCAATTGTAGTTGGAGCCCTTGGTTTGATTGGAAAAGATTCCAATGGTCTCAGTCCTGGTAGCTCATGCCTTAAAGAAATACAAAAAAAAAAAAAAAAGAGTACAACCCATACCTTACGAAGGGTTTTATCAATGCAAAATATGTGGGATTTTTTTTTTTATATTGTTCAGTAGAAAATTTCATGATGACATTTCTGAGCTTAGGTCTCTGGGCGGGGCCCGGAAAGAAATGTGTAAACACCGAAAATTGATTAAAATATAATAATAATAATAATAATAATAATAATAATAATAATAAATCATTTTAGATCACCTTTTTTCTACCATTAAAATAAAATTCTCAGACAGTTTTCATTGTTTTGAAAAAAAATCCATGTAAACTTTTCGACTGTAAGTTAGAACTTAGATACTTTTTCTAAAAATAATAACAATTTTATTATTATGATTGTTATTATGATAATTATTAATATTATTATTAATATTATCTTCTCCTTTCTGCTAACCATCATTACCTTACAACCTACAGCACGCGTGCCATACGTGGCACGTCAAGCAATTTCTAATGGAACGCAACCGCAAAAGACATCACGAAGTCCGAACCAATAACTACTACAACGATATTTAGCTGTTTCAATTTTAATATATACTAAAGTATATCTACTATATATTATTATATGAAATATATTGTAGAACAGGTATATTGACCTTGACTTGTATAAAAATACGTATGATGTTGGCACACTGAATGATTTTAAATCCCTAAGTCGGCACATGGCAAAAGGTTGCCGACCTGTGCACTAATATTTTGTTTACATTGGTAACACTCATCACAGCATTTCTTGGAATCTTAAGTAAAGAGAGTCTGCTATGAATCTTCTTTACTAATATTCTTACCTGTACCTTTTTTATTATTTATACCCAGAGCTTCAATTATAATATGTATGACAGTAGTTTTAAGATGGCATTTTCTTCATTTCAGGATCCTTATGTCTACACATTTTCTCGTATTATCATTATTATTATTATTGTTGTTGTTGTTTACTGTTGTTGTTGGAATAAACTTGTTTATGTTTTCACACATCTA